CACTGAACTTTCCTTATAGAGATACATTGATTCAATTCATCTCTATGAGGAGATGCTGATTGGCCAGGGCTGTGTTTGAATTGTGTTGGCTCTGTCTTCTTGTCAGTCTCAGCCAATCAGATGGGGATGCATTGTGATTGGATCAGGCTACCACCTCTGCTGATGTCAGCAGGCAGTGGGCAGGTCTACAGGCAACAGGGACAAAGTCCAGACTTGAATACAAGTAAGATTTTACTATTTTAGGGGGAGGCATAAGGGCCGGGAGGCTAGATGGTGGTTTTAACCCTATAGGGTCAGGAATACATGTTTGTGTTCCTGGCCCTATAGTGCTCCTTTAAACACACCTGTTTATTATGCAGTTTGATGGTAGAGATTTGTAAATGCAAGCTATCATGAGAAATAGCCTGATAGCACATAGGCTTTGCTATTTTTACATTTATTGCAGGCTGATGAGACACTATCACATAGTCACATCTATGCATTTCATATTTATTGGATGTGATTGCTTGTTGTTCATTTTTGGATTGGTTGACAATACAAATCGGCCAATAAAATGCACCTTTGATACACAGTTTGTCGGTCTCGGTTCATGGCAGACAGTTTAAAATGATATACCGTAGGACACATTGTTCTCAAGATTGTAAGCTCATGGGATCAGGACTCACCTCTGTAACTTTCTCTGTGTTAGTGTATTGTGTATTAAAACATTAGAAGCATTGATTTAAAACCAAAATGTGTAGTGACAGTGCCTCTTTAATAAATACAGATCAGAATAATAGACTATGACCCTGTCACTTAAACCTGCCCATTGAGCTGTCATCTAATCTAAATCGAATTGAATTTAGCAGCTAAAGGCAGAAAGCAGTCAAAGTGTGATAATGCGGAAATCAATAACGTCCCTTCATTGAACCGTTTACACGAAACAAACTCCTGTAAAACAAAAAACATAAATTACACCTACCTGATCACCAACTATAAAAACACAACTTATCTTACACTGCCAGGATGGCCAAGCGGGCTAGATCAACTTCTTCCGCAATATGGGTGTTCTGGTCTCCACATGGAGGCGTGGGTTCAAATCCCACTTCTGACAGCTTTTTCATATTCTTTTTGTACGCAGTACTGGAGACCGTATCTTCAGAAGGATATTGATACCTTAGAGAGGGTTCAGAGAAGGGCTACTAAACTGGTTCATGGATTGCGGGATAAAACTTACCAGGAAAGGTTAAAGGATCTTAGCATGTATAGCTTGGAGGAAAGACGAGACAGGGGGGATATGATAGAAACATTTAAATATATAAAGGGAATCAACACAGTAAGGAGGAGACTATATTTAAAAGAAGAAAAACTACCACAACAAGAGGACATAGTCTTAAATTAGAGGGACAAAGGTTTAAAAATAATATCAGGAAGTATTACTTTACTGAGAGGGTGGTGGATGCATGGAATAGCCTTCCAGCTGAAGTGGTAGAGGTTAACACAGTAAAGGAGTTTAAGCATGCGTGGGATAGGCATAAGGCTATCCTAACTATAAGATAAGGCTAGGGACTAATGAAAGTATTTAGAAAATTGGGCAGACTAGATGGGCCGAATGGTTCTTATCTGCCGTCACATTCTATGTTTCTATGTTTCTATTATACCATATTACACATTACACAATATTATACCACATTACACAATATTACACCACATTACATAATATTACACAACATTACACAATATTATACCACATTACACAATATTACACCACCTTACACAATATTACACCATATTACACAACATTACACAATATTACACCCCCTTACACAATATCACACCACATTACACAATATTACACAACATTACACAATATTACACCACATTACACATTACACCATATTACACAATATTACACCACCTTAAACAATATTACACAATATCACACCACCTTACACAATATTACACCATATTATACAACATGTTATACAACATTACACAATATTACACCATATTATACAACATGTTATACAACATTACTCAATATTACACCACATTACACAACATTACACAACATTACACAATATTACACAACATTACACAACATTACACCACATTACACAACATTACACAACATTACACAATATTACACCACATTACACAATATTACACCACATTACACAATATTATACCACATTACACAATATTACACCACCTTACACAATATTACACCATATTACACAACATTACACAATATTACACCACATTACACCACATTACACAATATTACACCACATTACACAATATTACACCCATTCTCTTTAATATTTTTATTAGTGATATTGCAGAAGATCTTGATGGTAAGGTATGTCTTTTTGCTGATGATACTAAGATATGTAACAGGGTTGATGTTCCAGGAGGGATAAGCCAAATGGCAAATGATTTAGGTAAACTAGAAAAATGGTCAGAATTGTGGCAACTGACATTTAATGTGGATAAGTGCAAGATAATGTATCTTGGGCGTAAAAACCCAAGGGCAGAGTACAGAATATTTGATAGAGTCCTAACCTCAACATATGAGGAAAGGGATTTGGGGGTGATTATTTCTGATGACTTAAAGGTAGGCAGACAATGTAATAGAGCAGCAGGAAATGCTAGCAGAATGCTTGGTTGTATAGGGAGAGGTATTAGCAGTAGAAGAGGGAAGTGCTCATGCCATTGTACAGAACACTGGTGAGACCTCACTTGGAGTATTGTACACAGTACTGGAGACCGTATCTTCAGAAGGATATTGATACCTTAGAGGGTTCAGAGAAGGGCTACTAAACTGGTTCATGGATTGCGGGATAAAACTTACCAGGAAAGGTTAAAGGACCTTAACATGTATAGCTTGGAGGAAAGACGAGACAGGGGGGATATGATAGAAACATTTAAATATATAAAGGGAGTCAACACAGTAAAGGAGGAGACTATATTTAAAAGAAGAAAAACTACCACAACAAGAGGACATAGTCTTAAATTAGAGGGACAAAGGTTTAAAAAATAATATCAGGAAGTATTACTTTACTGAGAGGGTAGTGGATGCATGGAATAGCCTTCCAGCTGAAGTGGTAGAGGTTAACACAGTAAAGGAGTTTAAGCATGCGTGGGATAGGCATAAGGCTATCCTAACTATAAGATAAGGCTAGGGACTAATGAAAGTATTTAGAAAATTGGGCAGACTAGATGGGCCGAATGGTTCTTATCTGCCGTCACATTCTGTTTCTATGAATGCCGTAAAAACCTAAGCCTATGATTTTTACTTTGTTTTTTGTAAAATTATAAAATAGTTCAGTTGATAAATACTCCGAATACAATACCAGCCCAAACATCAGTGCCGCAGGTTTTATTCCTGGTATGGGCATCTCAGCCTTTCATATTTCCAAGGGTTCCATTAAATGGGTAATACTAAACACTTCTTGGCAAGGAGAGGCAATACATGTTCATGGTTTTAATAGTTTTAGAGCTATATAGAGGTTTATTTTCTTTATTGGACGAGGGGGTAGTTTTGTTTCCTCTTTTTACATTATGTTTAAATTCTTTACTACAAACGCTCCATGAAATCATATTATTGCTTTAAAGGACCACTATAGTGCCAGGAAAACATACTCGTTTTCCTGGCACTATAGTGCCCTGAGGGTGCCCCCACCCTCAGGGACCCCCTCCCGCTGGGCTCTGGGGAGAGGAAGGGGTTAAAATCTTACCTTTCTCCAGCGCCGGGCGGGGAGCTCTCCTCCTCCATGGCGATGTCATCGTCTGAATGCGCATGCGCGGCAGGAGCTGCGCGCGCATTCAGCCAGTTCATAGGAAAGCATTTACAATGCTTTCCTATGGACGCTGGCGTCTTCTCACTGTGATTTTCACATTGAGAAGCCCACAAACGCCTCTAGCGGCTGTCAATGAGACAGCCACTAGAGGCTGGATTAACCATATTATAAACATAGCAGTTTCTCTGAAACTGCTATGTTTATTTAAAAAAAGGGTTAACCCTAGATGGACCAGGCACCCAGACCAATTCATTAAGCTGAAGTGGTCTGGGTGCCTATAATGGTCATTTAAATAAGGCTACTTGGACTGAATGCTAAATGACGATGAAAGGGAAATATCTGATGGCTGAATCACTTTAAAAAAG